CTCGGATTCCTCCGGTGTGCATCCAACTGCAAAATGGCAAAATCAGTTCAGTACTTAATTCCACCTCGCAATTCACTGAATTAACCAGTAGTATGAATCAACGTTCTCTCATACAGACAGTTATTTGATTCTGATCTAGAATTCAATTCATCGGACAAAAAATCTGACCGCACAGTACGCATTCAGAAAAATCGTGAGTTTTTCCAAAGGTATTAATTAATTAAAGAATCAATTAATTACGAAAAAATCCGTGACTTAAAATGTCAATATTTTCATACAATTCCGCCACAAAAATATATACTTGCACTAAATTAATTAATTATATATATATTACACTGATTTTTAGTAAATAGATTATATTTGAAACATGTAAATTATATTCAATATCAATATATATAAATTTATATAAACCAGAATATTTATATTGATATATTCCTATATCATACAAAATTGATTGGATTGAGTTGATTTGGAAATTCAGCAGAATTATCACCTGAATATTCCTATTTAATTGAAGAATTGAGGAAATTGAGAATTGATGTGCAAAATTGTTTCGTGTTGTGTCCCTTCATTTTTTTCAATGTATAATTCAGTGAGAAAAAAAAAGAAAGATGAAAGTGAAACACGAGTCCATTCCGGGAAAATTTCTACTTCAGCTGATTTTTTTTTCACGAACAACTATTTGAATTTTTTTTTGTTATAAAAAGATTTAGCTGTCGAATAACATTCTGAGGGTAACTCCAGACTCACTGACACGGAACAATGAGTAGAGGAGTGGATATTTGAGTTTTAACAGAATTCTTTTGACTAAATGTGAGCGTTTCTATCGTGTACGCGGTTTCAATTTCATCGTGGTATTTCGTATGTGGAGTTTCGCAAACTTTGCCAACGGGTATTGAATGTAATAACTAATACAACTGCCGGAATTTACATCCGTTTGATTATATTATTGTTTGAACAAATTCCGGTGCTTCGGCCAATTCGAACCTGCGAGGGTCTACGAATTGAAGTTAATGCACGCGAGGAGAAAAATTCTGGAGAAAATCAGGTGACAGTTCCGCAGTTCCGGGGCGCAATATCGATTCACGTAAAGTTACGGGAAAATTTGCGTAAAAATTCTAGTTCTTTCCGAAAAGACACGGTATTAACATAAATTTTCGTTATTTGTTTATTCGTGTAAAATTACCTAGGGATGGAAATTTTTCGAAACTTGACAGAAAATTATGGCAAATATTTCTCACTCATCATTTTTTAATATCTGATTAAAATATATTATAATACCTTTATTTACTAATTTTCTAATTATTTATTTCGATATAATATCAATTTTACAGAATTTTTTGCAATGTCGGAATATTTTTTTCGTTGAAATTCCACGAAATTCCACAAAAAATTATTGAAAATATTGCAATAATTCGGTAGCAATAATGAATGAATAAAAAAATATAATCTAAATTCCAGGCATTAGGAACTTTACGTGAACCGAAGTTTTGAATGACAGTTAAATTTTGGGAAGATTACGCCCGCGAAATGACAAATTTCTGTAATCCCTCACGTCATCTTCCAGAGAAATAGATGTTTTCGGGGATCATGATACCGAGGGGTAAAAAATGATGGAAGAAGTGAGTGATTCCACCTGCCCTAAGCATCACGTTTGATGGGTGCCGGTCGTTATGAACTCCCATTCTCTCTTTTTCCTTTTAATCAATCAAAAACTGGCGCAAACTCTCAAGTTTCCAATGCACAAACCCAAAGTTCTTTTTCACTGCAGGATTCACCTTCCGAGATTCGTGTCAGGTCAGGTCAAAGTACTTTCACAAATCTCGATTATACCCCCTCGCGATAAATATTTATGAAAAATTATGGAATTCCGAAAAAATTCTCGAGCGTTCACCATTTTTTTTTTGCCATCCGAAAAATTTTTTATTCATTGAAGAATTGTTGAGAAGAATTGTACCCAACGTGAGAAATAATTAGACATTTAATTAATTAGTAAAAAAAATCGGGGAGTTTTTGTTTTTTTTTTTTTGTTTCTCCTCATTTTTATTTAATTTTTTACTCCGTGTTGCCGTATTTTTAGCGGCGCTGGGTCATTTCAATTCCGAATAATTCATATTTTTAATGTTTGAATTATCCTTTTCCGCTGGAATCAAAGATTTATGTGAAATATGCTAAACACGACATCAAAGAGAAATTTGCATTATATTCTTTTTCTGATTATTTCTGTTTCAGAGTGCGTGTTGAATATTATGTGAACGAGAATACATTCAAGGAACGACTCCAACTGTATTTCATCAAAAATCAACGTTCAAGTAAGTTGAAAGAAGAGAAATAGAATAACTGAAGTGTGTTGGATCGTTAATCGCAGGTGTGAAGGAAATTTTTATGAGAAACCTGAGGTGTTGACCTGAATTAAAATATTGAAGGAATGCATTTCAATCCTAATAGCAAAAAAATTGCTTAAATTATTTCTTTCCGTATTTGAATTTTTTCAGAATTTCAGGGACTTATACACCAATAAAAAGTGTAATATTCCGTCATTAATTTTTTGTTTAAATAATTAACAATCCAAATATTCCCAAAATACTTGAATTTTCAATTGAACAATTCCAAGAAAATTATGAAAAACGCAAAATACCGATAACAAATTGAAGATCTGTGTTTTTGACTTTGAATAATTTTAATTTAAAATTGAATAATTAGTAAAACCAAAATAAACGAATAATTACATAAGCCCTGAAATTTCCCGTAAAAGTATTGAAAGCAGAAAAAAATTTTGTCAACGGAATAAAAAAAAAAGCATGTGAAAACGAATTAATTGAAAATCCCCATGCAAATGACATCCGCAATAATTTCCATTGGAAACAATTAACTTGGGTTTATGAAATAATACATCTTTATTGGCTGAAAAAGGTGGGTAATACCATCGAGTCCTTCTCCACTCAATTAACGTCGAGTACAGAACGTCATCAGCTGGTGTTCAGGCTCTCTTTCTCGCGGTGCTCTTTTGAAGTCCGTTTCAGTACTAGGTAACACAGTCAGTACAATTTACCAGACGCAACGTCACGGATCACCTTCAGAGGTGAAACATACCGAGTTAACAGAATTTCACATGTCTGACACCTATATGCCAGCCCTTTGTGCCGTGTAACTAGAGATTTCGATAGCGACCACTTTTTTTCCATGAAAATGGGATATTGATTTTACAGATTTAACAACCCCAAGCCAAGATTTAAAAACTTCAATTGTATCAAATAGAAATCTTTCCCCTCAATTCTTCTCTTATCACAAATAACTTGTTATTGCAAATCAATTTTTTTACTCGTTTCAATAACAACCATTTGATTATTTAAACAAAAAAATTGATTTATTTGAACTAAAACTTCTTTTCAATCTAAAAATTTCCTCGATCTGTGGATTATTAGTTTAATTATGCCTTTATTTATTCGCCGAATTCTAATTGAAGATTATTATCTAATATTTTAATAGTTGGATGTAAAAAAAATCGATGTTCCCTTTATTGTTTACAGGTCTGAGAATTCGAGTGGCAAATCTGTTCTTTAAGCTGCTCACATGCTTCCTTTACATATTCAGGGTAATCACGGACAATGTTCCTACATTCGCGTCATGGTGAGTGAACAAATTGGAAATGTAAATATTTCCTATTAATTTTCTCTATTCATTCTAGCAGAAATATCTCAGACTCACCCTCAAACGATACACCGATTGCCCTAAAACAAGAACTGAGACCGAGTCAATTTTTTTTATTTGGAATTATAAACAAAGGAATGTACTTATTGCCTAGTCAATTCATACCAGATATATGAAATTCATATCCCATATAAAACCTGATGTCCTCATCATCACCATCTCATCTCATTTGAATTTCCAATCGAGCAATTCAACTTTACCCCGGAGCCATGAATGAATAGAATGTTGCACGTCGTTTCAAGTTCCTTGAAATTTTTAAACATCAGAATAAAATCGCACTGTCTTTTTTTCATGAAATAAATATAGCTGATGCGAGTGAAAAGCACTCCTGGGAGGGATGAAATTCAATATTTCAGTCGAAGATATAAACGTAAAAATCTGAAACGGGTAAAACTTAATGAATTGCCTTTAATATCGCATAAGTAATAGCTTTTCATTTTTACGAGATTGACATTGTTGACGATTCCGCTCTTACCGTTTGTTCCTTTTCTTTTCAGTTACGGCTGTACACCGGGAAACAAGTCGGATATCCTGGCATCCCAGATGCTCACGGAAGAGGAGTTTCAAGACCACTCCACCATCAACTGGGACGCGATTCTGTGGGTGAGACGACCTTTGGAGCTGTGGGTCGTTCAGGTTATTCTAGCGATGGTATCGCTTGCCGAGGCACTACTACTCGCCTATCTTGGATACAAGGTATGTTCCTCGTCGTTATCATTATTCTCAAATAGCTCGTATCAAATTTTCCGTTGAATATTTTCGTGTATCCACTTTCATTCACTCCCTCATTATTAAATCGGTGATTAAATTGTATCAATTTTCAGTGTCAGCTGCGTCCACCAGTGAAAAATATACTTTATTCACTTTGATTCTAATCTTGAGTTGGAAATATGGATTTACTATTCGATAATATGAATTATTGATTTAGGAATACATATTCTCAAGTCAGAAATATGAATTCCTGACTTGGGAATACATATTTTCGACTCATGAATATGAATTCCTGATTTTGAAAGATATATTTTCGACTCCGGAATATGAATTCCTGATTTAGGAATACATATTTTCGACTCAGAAATATGAATTCCTGATTTGGGAATACATATTTTCGACTCCGGAATATGAATTCCTGATTTAGGAATACATATTTTCGACTCAGAAATATGAATTCCTGATTTGGGAATACATATTTTCGACTCAGAAATATGAATTCTCCAATTAGAAATCGATCTAAATGATATCTTAAATTCAGAATATTCCTTTCCAAATTTCCAGTTCGAAAATATGAATTCCAGATTTGAGAATGCATATTCTCGCTTGATAAATGTGAATTCTCGAATTGGCAATGAGTATTCTCGATTGAGGCCATGGATTATCCAATTGGAATTAGATATTTCCGTCTGGGGAATATACATTCTCGAAAAAGCACATTCCAGTCACGAAAAGCTAATATCTGTCCCACCCAGTCGAATTACAATTCTCTAAGAGGAGGATCAATTGGGCTCACTGCTATTTACTAATATCGATGGAAACTTCCCCAGTCTATTAGCATCTGCTCCCTTAATCTGTTTTATAATCGGTTTACGCGTACCATCGGTCAAGTCTCATTTTCACAATCTAGTGGATTCTGCTTTGATCCAGTGTACGGGTTTGAGATTTATCCGGGGTACAGTTAAGCTCCGTCAGGAAGTTTAAATCATTTACATAGTTAATATATCTCACCCAGTGGAGGTACAAGTTTCCAGAAATTTTGAGATGATCTCTGACATTTTGTTATTATAACAGGACACTGTTAATTAATGGTAATTCAATTGGGAGTAATGAATGAGTAAAATTTCATTATAAAAATGAAAAAAAAATTACTCTCTCGTAAATTCTGCATTTTTCTCGATAATATTGACCATTAATCACTGATAATTAATAAATAATGAATTGTACAAAATATTTTACACAAAAATTGATGATAATTATTATGTCGACTGCAATTTTTGGGACGAATTTTCATAAAATTACAGTGGAATTACAAAAATCATCGATTTCCGTTCGGTCATGATGACAATCATGCTTCGACATTTCGGTTTACAATTTTATAAACAGCAATTCGATATTGAGCGACATAAATACAGATTTTGAGTGATTTAATAGTATCCTCAATGATGGAAGCGATAAATAACCAACGGATCTCTATTCCCATGTCAAATTTATGTCTTCCGCAAACAATCATGAATCGAACAGCGGGATAGTTGTAGCCCCGTTAATAAAGCTAGTTTACCGAAATAACACGAGCTTTGATGTTTTGCTATAATTATTACATCCCACGAGCTTGAGTGGCCCCTCCCCGAAAATGGATTACAGCAAAAAGTCGACGTCATTAGCGTTTGCGGTACAGCGATATTGAATTCATGGAACGCGGTTATCGATTCATCATCTAGAATCAGCGAGAGTTGAGACTTTGAGGTTTGAATTTTGATCCATTACTCATCCATCTTCACTTCTTGCAACTCCATAAAATTTTGGTTTTCCCTGATAAAATATTGCCGATAAAACATTTCACTACACTAATCGAATTCCGGATTCATTCCGTTCTATAATCTTATTCAAAATTCTATAAATAATCCTATAGTTTAAATTTCTGGATTTTTCAATTTGCTAATTTTTATTATTTTTTAGTAAACTTGGTAGATAGTAAATAGATAAATGAAGTATTTCCCAATTAAATGAGCAACGCAATATATTTTTTTCTCCATGAAGAAAATCCCAGCGGTTGGAAGATAAACATGAGATATCGCAAGTAGTCTCGGCCAATTACCATCTTCACCTAGGGATTTTCGTAAAGAGACACGTTGAAGGATACGTTGCTGGGAAAGTGGTGGAATCTCTGGATATCCTGGATTAAGTTGGCACGTGCTATCTGACATTGCCCTGTCTCCGGGGCTTGTTTCTACAGATGTCCCAGTGGAAAATGAGAGGATATACAAATCCTGGCTTTCAGCCAATAGCTGTTAAGCCCCTCAACCCGTAAGCACGACATCCATGTCAATACTTGGGCTTAATCAAGTATTGTCTACATTGGATGTTTGAATTTACACCGATTATTTCATTGTCAGATCTGTCAATCGTATTCCATCATCATTCTACTCTAATAATTTTTTATCAATTTTGGTTTTATCGGGGTAGTCGCTCGCCTGGAAATCAATCCACTGATACAAAAATTCCGGTAATACTGCCTGATACATTCGGTTCACAAGTTAAATATTTATTTTTTTCATTCCACGCCATTTTTTGGGAGGAATTCACGATAAATATTGCAAGTCATTGCACATGAAACGAGAAATTTTTGAAAAATTACGAAAAATGTAAATATGTAAATATGAAAATTAGAGAGAAAAATTATTCTGGCAAATTAATTAATTTTCTTCCACCTAAATTAACTCACCAAAAGTATTGATCATTGCAGATCCCCGTAAAATAATATAAGTATCATAAAATATATTCCCTCGAGTCTTTCCATGTTATGATCGATGGAAGAGAAAATGTCGATTTATAGAAACACGATCGCTAAAATTCCTTGGCTATTTCAAACAGCTTTATGTTTTCCTAAATTTCCCGTCTCATTGTGCACGTATCACCCATAGGATACGAGCAGTGAAAAATCCCCATTCCCGATACTGCACCAGCGTAAAAGCACCCGAAGGGTAAAAGGTTGAAAGACGTAGAACCCCTCGGTAACTTATAAAGGCCATTTTCTCGGAGAGGGCGGTTATGTTTCCCACCCAGAACCATTGGAACTGACTCCCGGAGAAACTCCAGTGGAACTGTATTCACTTTAAAAAAAAAAAAAAAAACGGGATTGGTTCGACAGTCCGGACGAAACTACGTCAATCTGCCATGTTCCTCGAGTACCCGGTAACCTTTATCCTGAAATTGCATTCGAGTCTTTTTCACGTTTTTCACTTTCCCGCCGCCATGTGAATCAGCGATTTTCACTATCGAGAAAACGACAGGCAAATTTAGGCACCATCTGTACATGAGGAAATAATCGTGTGCGATATTGCAGTTAAATTATCGGCTATTTACTCGGAGAAAGAAAATATTTCTTCATAAAAAATATTCCTCCAGGGGGTGGAGCTCCTGGTGATCTTGAATGAACTCCATCAACAATTATCAAATGGATTAAACAATTGGCGAATTATTGGAAAATCATTAGCGAACTATTTTATTTCTCAAGACACACGAAGGAATTCATTTTTCCCTTTACGTTCCGAATAAAAAAATTTTATTTGAAAATGCCGATTTATTGAATATCTTTGAGAGGAAAAATATGGAAATAATGAGAAGACGAATTTTTTTGTCGACAATGAGAGAAAAATAATTCTCGATGATTGTTTGTAGTTGGATGTTGTCTGCCTCGGAGGCAGTAAATACACGGGGTAATGGTCTACATGTGGAAATAAAAGTACATCGAGAGGTACTCCCTCGTTCCCGCAGATATAGTCGTCTTTACCGACATAAATCCTCTTTTATCCGTCTATCCCTGGAGCTTTGGTATTTATGACTTTCTGAAGCACATAAGTTTTACACTCATTTGTGATATGTCCCGTCGAGTCCTAGGTAAATCCCACCGTCACATTCAACTGATGCATGAATCCGCGGAAAAGATGTATCGATGGCTTAATAACAGACCGACGTAAGTGCCGACAATTTTTATCCACCGAGAGAAAAATCCGAGGGAAAGATAAAAGAGAAATTGTACGAACTGTCACGTCAATTCTACGATTCGTTCCATAAAAATCATCGATCAGTCTCACCTATTCCTTTGTTGGTAATAAATCATTGCGTCATTTTTTCCCCAACGATTGAATAATTTTAATAAAAACAC